TCAAAATGAAAATTCATACTCAGAGGGAAGTAAGCATACACTTCCATTTAGCTAAAACACTGAAATTGTATGTCATCTCCAAAGTTATGCTGTTTTATTTATTTTCAAACTTGGCATTTCCACTTGATGCTTTTAAACCCTAGTGTCTCGATTCAGAACTAGCAATTGAAATGTGTCATTAAGAATAATCAATAGTTGCAGTACTTTACAGTTTTTATTTACCATGATATCTTGAAATCTTTCATCAAAGAACCATTATTCGGCTATCTAACTAAAAATCAGAACTGGCTATAAATGCCGTTCCTATCGATAAAATGTAGTTTAAACCTTAGGCAACTGGAATTTATAGAAAACACAATATTAATTGAGAGGGAATGAAAAAATTGTTTCTGTTTTTAAATAATTTTGGCATAGTGCCTAAGGCACTTGACTGCTAACCCAAAGGCTGGTGGTTCAAACCTGGGAAGGAAGGTTGGGCAATCTACTTCCATAGTGATATCACCTCAGAAACCCAAAGAGGAGTTGCTATGAGTCGGGTCCAACTCGATGGCACATAACAACAACAACAACAAGCTAATAAGTTTTCTCAGATAATCTCTGTTTTTAAAAGAGTTCAGAAATCTAAATACAAAATGCAGTTTATTCTCCACTCTTCCATAGTAAATATAGTTAGGAAACATGGTAGTTTTTTTTTTTCTTCAATTATCCAGAATTTTACAATCTCTTAGCATTAGGAATTTAAATAGAAATTCTCATTGTATAGTACTACAGATATAAATATAAAATGTATATGAGATAGATTGATGTAGTGTTCAATGGAACTATTTTAGGGAATGTTGTCAAAACCTCTGATATCAATTTTTTTTAGTCATTTGATTAATATTTTTTCCAAGATAACATGCTGAAAAATCCACTTCATCAAAATTTTACTATTTCAAGAAAACTATGAAACACCACTACAGGAGACAACAAGGGCTCTACATAAATAGAAGAACCTGCTTTGTTCATGGATGTTTGTAGTTAGACTGAATATTGTGAAAATGTCAATACTACCTAGAGCAATCTACACATTTAATGAAATCCCAATTCAGATACCAAGAACATTTTTTC